TTCGCACTGGTGCTCCTCGATGTTGCCGGGCGCGAACCCTCGCTCTGCGCAGCCCGGGCACACGAGGTCTCTATCGGAATGCCGATGATGTCTCATAATTGCCGCGCCCCACACGCCTTCGTCAAAAACATCTTTGCACGCAGCACACCCGTGGCTCTGCGGGTTGAGGCCCCTCTTCCAATCATCACGTTCCACGCGCCGCTTGCATAGTGAATCGTCTGGCGGGTGTGTCCTTGCAGCGATTCAATCGGGCATTCTTTGGGAAGCCTCGGCCGCCCGCGCAGCCCGAGGAGGCATTGCGCCGACCTCGCGCGCGCAGTCCATGCATCTCGTCCACCTCCCCTGCGACACGTACTTCTCGTAGAAGTCGGCGGCTGCTTTCATGCCGAAGTCGCGGGCGTCGAGCATGTACTCCTGCTTCCCTTTGAGGTAGCAGCAGGCGCACAGGTGCTTCCTCGCCATGGGGCCCACCTTCTCCGCTTCAGCGGCCTCGTCATCAAGCGTACTCCATTCATGGATCGCCTCGTCTGCTGTGATCTGGCCAGAAAGCTTCCGCATCAGTCGCTCGGGCCCCACTGGGTTGCCGAGGCCAAACAGAAAGGTCGAGAACGGCTGCGCGACGCAGATGTTTGGCAATCGCTTCACTCTGGACAAGCATGCGCAGGCAGCAATCTGAGCTGTCATGGACGCCCTGCTGGACCAATGCTGCAGGTCCGCGAATGCCGCTTCCAACGTCGCCCCCTGGATCATGTGAGCGGTGGAAGCGAAGTCGGGGAGAATCCAGAAGCCCGTGCGTCGGGCTTCGATGCCCGTGTGCTTGTTGACTTTCCAGGTCCTGGATCTCCGCTTCAACGGGTATACCCTATGCTCCACTGTGCTTCTGGGAAATGGATATAGATAACCAAGGGCAACCTATCCAATATGAACTCGCCCTCGATCTCCTGGGGACTGCAATCAGGCGCCAGAGTCCATCCGTAAATCACTCCCTTTCGGTGCCTGTAGAGTTGTCTGCTTCGATCGACGTTGTCCGTCAACCGAATGGGCATGCCTTTGGCCAATGGGTAGATGCTCGGAATGTTGCCCGTCTCCTGGTCGTGCCTCTTCAGCCAGGAGAACAACTTCTCGTCCAATTTCTCCTTCGGCAGATCGCGATCTCCTGGATGCAGCGGCGCACCTCGGGCGTAGCACCACGAGAGCTGCACGTTCTTCTGCTTGGCAAACTCCCTCGCGCGCAGGTTCGTCGCGAAGTACCTGGGCACGTTGAAGGTGTACAGAGCAGGTGCGCCGCTGAATGGGTTCATGCGAAGCTCTGGCGCCAGCGAGTCAGTGTCGGTCAGAACCCTGTGTCTCTTGCCTCGCTCCGCACGGCACTCTTCGCACTCGCCCTCTGGCGAGTTCAGAAGCGCCGCCATGTCGGCGCGCCCTCCTGTGAAGCGCCCCCCCCCCAAGTCTTGCGATACGGGCCCAGTACTGGGTCGTCCACCACGTCGCCGTTGCAGACGCAGTTACCCGCGCTCGGGGACGTCAACGTCGGGAGCCCGTGGAAGTAGCTGCAGTCCTCCACGCTGAGATTTCCAACTCTGCACTGGCCCAGAAACGAGTTGTACCATGCATCGTCACACCTCATCAATTCGGCCAACTGCCACAAGGATCGCACGCTATCGACGCCGTCTTGCCAGAACAGCTCCAACGCGCGGTGCGCGCACCCTGCGGGCACGTCCAGAGGGTTGGATGCCAGGAAGGTGCCCGTCACGGGGTGCAACTGCCAAAAATCAGCGCACATGACCACGTTCACTCCCCCGAAGGCGCGATGCAATTCCCCCGCCCTCTTCTTGTACGTGCCCCTGGCACGGACAGCGGCACTGACCACTCGTTCCAGGGTGCCCAGCAGCTCCGCGGACATCATGATCACCTGGAAATGTTGCATACAGAACATATCTCTTCTTCTGTGTGCGCTGAGCTATGCTCATTGCCTCGACAGGTCTTGCAAACATGGAGACCCCCGGGGCGAACTAGAGAATTATCAGATTTTCCCCAGACGCCGCCGTTGGAGGTGACGAAGAGCCCGAATCCCACCAGCCCTTTGGGCGTGAGTGGTTTAGCGAGCCCCCTCTGTCCTCAACCCCCCTTCTTCCCCTTCGGGGAGGGGTTTACCCCTCCCCCTACACCCTCCCCCTGGGCCTGGAGAGGGCGCCCCGCGGGTCGTCAAGGGGGTCAACTTCGACTCCTGGGAGGGCTAAAAAAACACGACCCTCACGAGGATTCTGGCCCCGACGGGGGGCTGGAGAAAAAACCCTCTCCTCTTCTGTGAAGCCAAAAGCATTGATGTTACTAGGGTTTTGGCCCCATTTTGGCCTTCTGAGGGGCGGCGCTCATCGTCCTTCATAGCAAAATCATTGATTTTACGAAGGTTTTGGCCTCATTTTGTCCTTTTCAGAAGGCAGCGCTCATTTGCACTTCTGAGGAGGTCGCAAGAGGCCCCAAGATGGCCCCAAGAGGCCCCCAGGAGCCTCCCAAGAGGCCTCCAAGAGGCCCCCAAGAGGCCCCCAAGAGGCCCCAAGAGGCCCCACGAGGCCCCCAAGAGGCTCCCACGAGGCCCCCAAAGGCCCCCAAGAGGCCCCAAGACGCCCCAAGAGGCCCCCAAGAGGCCCCACGAGGAGCCCGAACGACTCACACCAGGACGAGGGCCCGAACGACTCACACCACGAAGAGCCCGAACGACTCACACCACAAGGAGGGGCCCGAACGACTCACACCAGGACGAGGCGCCCGAACGACTCACACCACGAGGAGCCCGAACGACTCACACCACGACGCGGGCCCCGAACGACTCACACCACGAGGAGCCCGAACGAGTCACACCAGGAGGAGGGGCCCGAACGACTCACACCAGGACGAGGGGCCCGAACAACTCACACCACGAGAAGCCCGAACGACTCACACCAGGACGAAGAGCCCGAACGACTCACACCACGAAGAGCCCGAACGACTCACACCAGGAAGAAGGGCCCGAACGACTCACACCAGGACGAGAAACCCCAAACGACTCAAATCACGAGGAGCGCTTTCTCTCCCTCCTCCTCCGCCTCGTCCTTCTCCCGCTCCCCCCACAAGGAGGATGTACAAGGAGGCGGGAGGAAGGAGGAACAGGGGAGATATGCGGGGCCAAGCGGACACACGCCTGAAAAACACGACTGTCGGCATGCTTCGCAAGAGTTGCTGCTGTGAGATGGGCTGGTGGGGATACGCGAAGCGTAAAGAATTAAAAAACCCTGTTTGGGGATATTGCATTCCGGCTATAATTTGCTTTTGCTTTGCCTTCGCACACACACAGACACACGCATGTTGTTGCATTCGCTAGGGTACGCTAGGCTGCGCTATGCTATGCTAGGGTATGCTAGGCTGCGCTATGTTATGCTAGGCTATGCTATGCTGCGCTATGCAGCGCTATGCTATACTATGCTATGCTATGCTGCGCTATGCTATGCTATGCTATGCGATGCTATGCTGCAACATGCTATGAAATGCTAGGCTATGCTATGGCATGCTTTGCTGCGCTACGCTATGCTACGCTATGCTATGCTATGTTGTGCTATGCTGCGCTATGCTATGCTATGCTGTGCTATGTTATGCTATAATATGCTATGCTGCGCTATGCTATGCTGCGCTATGCTATGCTATGATATGCTATGCTATGCTATGCTGCGCTGTGCTATGCTAAACTAAGCTATGCTATGCTATGCTAGGCTATGCTGCGCTATGCTATGCTATGCTATGCTATGCTATGATATGCTGCGCTATGCTGCGCTAGACTATGCTATGCTATGCTATGCTATGCTATGCTATGCTATGCTATGCTAATGCCGCGCTGCGCTAAGCTAAGCTGAGCTGCGCTAAGCTGAGCTAGGCTAGGCTAGGCTAAGCTAAGGCAAGCTAAGCTAAGCCAGGCTAAGCTAAGCTAAGCTCAGCTAAGCAAAGTTAAGCTAGGCTAAGCTAAGATGAGATAAGCAACGCTAAACTAAGGGGACGTAGCTGGGGGAACCGCGGGGCGGATCCTGGGGGAACCGCCCGGGGCGAGCCCCACTGCCCGGCCCCTTTAAGCTCAGAGAGTAAGAACCCTTCTAGGCAGAGCCTAGGTAGGGAATTAACAAGTCATACTCAGACTACCTCATGATATAATTATTATCAGCGTGGCGACTCTACATCTTCACTCACTCAATCACAAACTCACTCACTCCCGCCTCCTCCCTCATCTCTCTCTCTCTCTCTCCCTGCTCACTCAAGTTCAGCTTTATACTCAGGCTCATTCACACTGAGACTCGTAGTCAACCGTATTCAGACTCACTCGTTCTCAACCGCTCACACTTAAATCCACTCACACAGACCCACTCGCACTTAGACTCACTCACGCAAGCGACTCACAATCTGATCATTCATATTTAAATTCGATCCAACTCATACTAACTCTTACTCAAGCCAACCTGCTCTTACTCTAAATCGCTTCACTCATACTCAGAGATCCCGTGACCACCGCGAAGCAGCAAGCAGGACACTTGGACACCCCAATGGGTAGGCACCAGGGGGTGTATCACGGACCCGCTCGCGCCCAGATTGGCGGGATGCCTCGAGCGGGTCACCTGTTTTAGGAGATCGACGTGTCTCGTTGCAGGGCTAAGGAAAAGGAGGTGCCAGGAGGTGTCCGAGGTCCCAAAAGGTTCAGAAAAGGCCTGAACGCCCAACAACCTCGATCCTCAAACTTCGATCAAGGATCAAGACGACGGCGAAGGTGACGACGTAGACCGATACGACGGAGGCGACGACGAAGACGACGACGACGGCGGCGGCGGCGGCAGCGGCGGCGACGACGACGACGACGCAGACGGCGGCGGCAGCGACGACGACAACGACGGAGACGGCGGCGGCGACGACTGCGACACTACGACGACGAGGACCGAGATGGCGGCGACGACGACGACGACGAAGACGGCGGCGAGGGACTCTTCTGTCGCGCTGCAGCTGCGGCGCAGGCGGGCCAGGACCGTGTTGGCGAGCTCGTTCTGCTCCTGGAGACGGGCGGGGTCGGGCGGCGCTGGCAGGGAGGAGCTAAGGGCCAAGGGCGAGCGACAAGCCAAGGGCGAGGGAGGAGGGTCGAAAAGCGAGAGCCGGGGACAACTCACACCCAGACTCGCTCACATCCTTCTCTTCCTCACTGAGACGCACTTATACTCACACTCGCTTATAATCAGACCCACTCATACGAAGAGCCACTCACACTCAGACTCACTCACACTCGGCCTCACTTGCAAAGACCACTCAGGCTCGGGCTCAGATCGCACTCAATTTGGGAGGATGTCTCGAGCGAAGCGCTGGTCCCAACACCCCTAAGGGGAGCCGCCATGGGTGGTTGCACGGCCCAGCTCGCGCCCAGATTGTGGGGATGTCTCGGGCGGCTTGCCTGTCCGGTTGCTTTTGCCAATGCACGGTGTGCGCAGTCGTGCCGGGGTCCGCGCGTGCCAGGCAGGGCGTGCCAGCTGTGCCCGTGCGGGGTGTGCGCAGTCGTGCCAGGCAGGGTGTTCCAGGCAGGGCCAGGCAGGGTGTGCCAGTTGTGCCCGTGCAGGGTGTGTGCAGTCGTGCCGGGCAGCGCGTGCCAGGCAGGGCGTGCCAGGCGGGGTGTGCCAGTTGGGCGACTCCGACTCCGACGACGACTCCTCCTCCCTCCTCCTTCCTCCTCCTCCCTCCCGGACGACGACATCGTTGACGACGACGGCCTACATGACGACGATGAGGCGGCGATATCTTCAACGCGACCGAAGACGATGGCGATGATGCTGACGATGATGACGACGATGAGGCAAATCCAATGATGACGGTGAGGCTGAGGACGAAGATGATGACGGCAATGATGGTGATGACGCTAACGATAATGACGACAATGGCGGTGATGGCGGCGAGGATGAGGATGAACAGTGCGAAAAGAAACCACTATGAACATGCATGCAGGTTCATAGTGCGAATCTGGGCATGCATGCATGCATGCAGGTTCATAGGCGGACCCAAACGGAACACACTTGGAACAATTGGCTGGTCATCTACCGTATGACTGAGTCTGAGTGTGAGTGAATTTGAGTTGGAGTGAGTCTAAGTGTGAGCGAGTCTGAATATGAAAGTTAGCATGAGTGCGAATGAGTCTGGGTGTGAGTCTGGGTGATAATTGCTCTGAGTTGGAGTGAGTCTGAATATGAGTGAGTCTGAGTGAAGGAGGAAGTGAGTGAGTCTGGGTGCGAATAAGTCTGAGTGTGAGTGAGTCTGAGTATGATTGAGTCTGGGTATGAGTGAAGTGAGCCTGAGTGAAGAAGACCAGAATGTGGGAGTGAGTCCGATTGTGAGTGCGTCTGCATATTAGTGCGTCTAAGTATGACAGAGTCTGAGTGCGAGCGCGTCTGAATCTGTGAGGAAGAAGAGCAATGGGAGGAGAGGGAGGTTAGGTGTGAGTCGGAGGCGCCTGAATGATAACATGAAGCCCATCTGAGTGTAAAGGGGAATTTGCAACAGCGGAAGAAATCATGACCAAACACCGACAGCCCGCTTTCATGCACCAGCTGTCGAGCCCAATCGATCTGTGATGGCCACGGGGCCCAACACTGGTCGAAAACGCCACGTGCGAAAAAACTTGCAACGACCAAATCACAGGGGATGTGTGCCCTCCTCTTCTTCTTCCTCCTCTTCTCCCTCCCCCTCCCCACACATCCGACGATGTGTGTGTGTTTTCTCCGATCCGCAACCCCCAGACGTCCTGTACGCTTTCCCGGGTGTAGTTTTGCATCCCGAATCAATGTTTGATGGCCCCAGGGCCCGAAAGCGGCCCCCGAAGGCCGAGAGCATGAAAAACACGGAGACTTTGAAACATCGCTGAGCTCCGACGTCACGAAAATTGCTCCCTCCTCGCGCGGAGGGTCCTCCTCGGTCATCCCCTCGGCGTGGGCGTCGGCTGGCGCTGTGGTGAGGGCGGCGTCGGAGGCGGGGGAGGCCGCGTGGTGGGCGGCCACCCTCCTCGGCGCGGGCGGGATCTTTTCCGCAGCGCAAGCTCCCTGCTCGATACTCCATAGCCCGTAGCGAAGCGGTCAGGCCGTGCCCACTCACGGAGGAGAAAGAGGAGAGAGGCGCCAGCAGCAGCAGGAGGGGACCGCGGCGCGCGGGAAAGGAGCAGGAGGACCAGCTCCCACCCACACGCCCTTAGATGATGTAAAAGGCGCCGGGGGCGTTTGGTCGTTTTCAACTTTTCGGTCACGGCCAACCAAGAAGGACAAAACGGCAGCCCAACAAAACAAATAACCGGCAATACAGAACAGAACCGAACCGTAAACGGCGCGAAAGAAAATCCCAGAACACGGAAAACAATTTCCCCAACACAAATACACACAACATCGATCTTGAGAACGGAGGGAAATGCCCCCAGCGTTTTTAACATAATCTAAACCCGTCGTTTTGCCCAGGAGCTCAGGGAGTCGGCCTCCGGGGGCTCCGGGGTCTCTTGACTGAGTCTCGGGACCGTCAACAACTGACCCAGGATGCTGAGCCAAGCCAGTCCCCAGGACGGGGCCCAGACCTCTGGGGGCCCACGCCATGGAAAAAAACATGACGCCAAGGGTCTGGGCGGGGGAGGACTGGAGAGATGGGGAGGGGGAAATGCAATTTGCTAGACGGTTGCGGTCCGTGCTGCAGCTGCCTGCCGTGCCCGCTGCCCACTGCGGCTCAAAAGCGTGGGTGGGCTGTCCTTCTCCTGGCAGGACGGCGTCGGGCAGACCGCGCAGATCGGGGTGCGCGGCCGCCATGGCGAGGACGAGAGGTGTCCTCATCTCGTTGTCGTGATCGCGGTTTGTTGTCGATACCCCCAGGAGGCGCCCAAGACGGCCCAAGAGGGCCCCAAGAGGGGCTCAAGAGGGGAACCCGAATTCACATTTCCAGCCCTCCGCCCCTCGTCGACCCCCGTGACCGCCAGCAGGCGCCCAAGAGGCACCCAAGAGGCCCCACGACGAGACCCCGAAGAGGCTCCCAAAAGGCATCACGAGGCCTCAAAACTGTGTCCGAGAGGTCCCCGAGAGGCCTCCCCGGAGACCCCGATATGCATCCACGAGGCTCTGACCCACAACCCAAGCACGGTGGCGAACTGGGCCCAGGGCCACTAGACCTGGGCCGGCACGGGAACGCAAAGAGCGCACTCAGCAATTTGCTCGAACATGCTCATGGCATCATTCGCATCTCGAGTCTTGGTATCAAGAGTCTTTTGCGCCGACACTCGCTCTTCGGAGCCTTGTTACTCCTGCTCCTCCTGATCCTGCTTCTGCTCCTCCTTGTTCCAACCAATCGGAAATCAGCGCTCCTCCTCCTCCTCCTTCTTCTGCTCTTTCTTGCTCATCCTTTTCCTCCTCATCCTCATCGTCCTCTGCTCCTCCTCTGCTTGCTCATCCTCCTCCTCGTCCTCCTCCTCTTCCTCCGCCTCCATCCTCGTCCTCTTCATCCTCCTCTTCCCTCCTCCTCATGTTGCTCCTCCTGCTGTTCCTCCTCCTCCTCCTCCTGTTCGTGGTGCGCCTCCTCCTAAGAGCTTTTTTACGCCAGTCGTCGTTATTATTAATGAGAAACCATGGTGTTGTGAGCTCATGACGTCACTGTGAGCTCTTGGAAGCCTCTGTTATGTGGCGTATCCGAATCTTCTTGGGGGTCGTTTTGGGGTCATTTGGGGCCGTCTTGGGGCCCGCTTGGGCCGACTTGGGGACTTTCGGGGCGTCTTGGAAGGCTTTGGCGATCTTGGGGCTCTCTTGGGGGTCTCTTCGGGCCCTCTTGGGAGCCTCTTGAGGCCCTCTGGGGGCTCTCTTGGGAGCCTTAGACCCTGTTGGGCCGTCTTGGGTCCCTTGGGAGCCTGTTCGGGCCCTCTTGGGCCGTCTTAGGGCCTTCACGGGAGCCTTGAGGCGATCTCTTGGGCCTCTTGGGCCGTCGTGGGCATCGAACCGCCCAGAAGGCCATCCCACTCGATAAATATCGAGGCCAGAGGGCGATTAGACTTTTCGCTCGCCCGTTCCCCCCCCCCCTGGACCCCCCCCCGTTGGGCTGACGCCCTACCAAGAACGGAACCGCGTGAACGCTCTTTCCGTCATTCTTATCCTCCGGGACCCCGAACACGCCCCCAGGAGACCCCAACAGACTTGAAACATGCTGCCGAGAGGCCCCCGCCCTCCCACGAGAGTCCAACAGGCCTCCAGGAGTCCGCGGCCTTCCTGGGGCCTCCCTCCTGATCCTCGATTCAGGGTCGGCGGAAACGGCCGTGAGGCCTCTCCCATCTGTCAGCGCCGCCGCCGCGTCAGCGCCACCCTGATGGGCACTCAGTCGACGGGGTCTTTGGCCGATGCAAGAAAGTGGCGTCTCTTGGCGGCGCGCAAAAGGGGGTAGGGGGAGGGGGGAAGGCTTCTTAGAAGCACCCTGTTTCTTAGAAGGCCTCGGCCTTACGTCTATAGAGAAGGCCCGCGCCTCCTAAGAAGCAGGGGTGCTTCTAAGAAGCCTTCCCCACTCCCCCTACCCCCCTCTGCGCGCCGCCAAGTTTCCCCAGGCGGCCCCAGCATCGGGGCGATACATCGAACGAGCGTCGAACGCCGAATCGGCAGGCAGCGGCTGAAAACCGGCCGCGCCATCGAATCGTCATAAGTAAGTCAATGAGAGCCAGCTGCCACATCGCATCGACCCCGCGCAGGATCCGGCGAGGCCGAAATCGGAATCGCGCATCGCAATGTCCGCACCGAATCCCGATCGATTCGGCACGAATCGGAACCCGTGGAAACGGCCTGGCGGAGTCGGACAGCGCCCTGCTTTGCTGCCACCCTCCCGCACCACCCCGCGCGAAAGCGGCGCTCTCTCCTGCCACCGTCCTGCGCACCGCCGAAGTGCCCGCCGCGGGGTAACCCCGTCTCGGTGGCGCTGGCCGCCACCGTCGCCTGGAGGCCCCCCCGCGGGCAGCGTTTTGTACCAGATCCTACCTTGATGATCGGGGCCCCAACCGGGGTCCGAGCAGATGGGGTCGGAGGATCGCGCCGCGTCGTCGACGCATCGCCGATGCATCGACGATGTGTCGACGGCACCGCCGATGCACCAGCGACGTCGGCGGGGAGAAGTCTGGGCTCGACATGGAGCCGCACCGCCGGTGCATCGGCGATGCGGCGCGATTTTTGTCCGACCCCTTCTGCTCAGACCATGGATGGGAGGCCTGGACCTGTACGGCAAGCTCGTGTGCTGTCGACCCTGGCGTTGGTCTCTGACACCGCGGGGATCGTTCGCCCTTGAACGATCGGGCGTCTCCGAAACGTCAGCCCGGTCAACATCGACCGATTCTGGGTCGCGGGCGGCATTCAAAAATGAACGCAGGCGGCGTGGTCGCCGCCGGTCGACGTGACGCGAACCTTCCGTGCACGATCCCGCGGCCCAGGATTGCCCCAGAAAGCCGAGCTGCGGAGACCGACAGACACCGATGCAGCTGCTCGCCGGGCCTCTCCCGAGGGAAGCGTCCTGGTCAGCCGGTCAGCACCTCGCGGCGGCTCCGGCAGCGGCGACGAGGGCCTCCCCGGAGGCCGCGAAAGACTGCGGCAGCGAGCCGTCGCCGCCTCCGCCGTCGCCGCCACCGCCTGCCCGAGGAGGCCGGCCGGCCGTGCGGGCTCCTGCTCTTCCGCGCCCCGGGGGCCGGCGGCGCGCTCTTCGCGGCGCAGGGCCGCTTCAGCGCCGCGGGCGCGGGCGGCGCGGCGGCGGGGGCCGCGGGGGGCGCCTGGGAGCTCCAGGGGGGCTTCTTATAGTGGCCTCCCACGTGCCGAGCGGGCGCGGGCCGGAGGCTCGCGCCGCACGAGCGATGCCTCGGCGACGTCGGCGATGCATCGGCGATGCCGGCGCGAAGAAAGTCGGGCTCCGCATCGAGCCGCATCGCCGATGCGTCGGCGGTGCGGCGCGATTCACCGACCCCATTTAGTCGGCCATCCGGGAGGCCTATGTCAATTTACCGTTTGTTCCAGCAGATCACGTTCCATACAGTCTCTCTCTATCTCTCTCTTTCTCTGTTGTAATTGTGTTCGTCGCCGCCCTCATGCTTTCCTCGTGCTCTCGTACTTAACTTCCTTCTCTTTTGTCATCGCCGTCCTTCCGTCTGTCGCCTCATGTCACATTCTCCCTTTGTGCTGCTTCACATCCGTCTCGTGGGGCGTGCAACGCGTATGCCGTCAATGTGGTTTTCGCAAAAGACTGCTTTCCACGTCATATCACCACCCGTTTGGTATGAACACATTGGTCTTGGGAACCGATGAGCATGGGTGTTGGGTACATGGGGAGGAAGGAGGCAGGGTAGTCAGAAAATGGAGGGCAGGGTAATCAGAAAATGGAGCAAGCTCCCTCGAATCCCGCGAACGGGGGAAGAAGACCCCCGTGGCGGGCGGGCCAGAAGGCACCTGACCAGCGCCAAGCGCATCCTGGAGCCCCCCCCCCCTCCCCCGCACAGGCAGGGAGATCAGGGAGGAGGGAGGCAGGAGGAAAGAAGGCAGGAAGGAAAGGAGACAACTGCGCTCTGTTGAAAGCGTCAGCGCAACCTGGGAGGTCTGGGAGGAACCGAAGCTTTTTTTGAGCTCCTCAGAAGTCCCCACAACGCGCGTTCAGAACTGCGCAGAAAAGAATATCGAGGAACTCCCAAAGCTCTCGAAGCAAGCGTTGTCCTAAACAGAAAAATCGGTGTGATTTCAGACCGCTTGGGAAGGTCCGATGCGTAATCTAGACGGCCCGGGAAACCATCTTTTTCCCAACCCTCCTGCGTTGGGTTCCCGTTTTGAATAGAGCACTGCTCGCGCGGACCTTCCCCCCTCCCCCGTCCCTCTCTTCCCCCCTGCCTTCGCTCGTCGCTGCGTGCCAGCTGGGGGGCTGCGATATGTGAAACTGTCGCCACTTTCGAGGCCTGCTGGGGGGCCCAGCACAGTGGGTACACACGGCGGATTCAAATTTGACCTCGCCATCCCTGGGGGGCTGCGATCTGTGAAACTGTCGCCACTTTCGAGGCCTGCTGGGGGGCCCAGCACAGTGGGCACCCACGGCGGATTCAAATTTGACCTCGCCATCCCTGGGGGGCTGCGATCTGTGAAACTGTCGCCACTTTCGAGGCCTGCTGGGGGGCCCAGCACAGTGGGTACACACGGCGGATTCAAATTAGACCTCGCCATCCCTGGGGGGCTGCGATCTGTGAAACTGTCGCCACTTTCGAGGCCTGCTGGGGGGCCCAGCACAGTGGGCCACGGCGGATTCAAATTAGACCTCGCCATCCCTGGGGGGCTGCGATCTGTGAAACTGTCGCCACTTTCGAGGCCTGCTGGGGGGCCCAGCACAGTGGGTACCCACGGCGGATTCAAATGGGACCTCGCCATCCCTGGGGGGCTGCGATCTGTGAAACTGTCGCCACTTTCGAGGCCTGCTGGGGGGCCCAGCACAGTGGGTACCCACGGCGGATTCAAATGGGACCTCGCCGTCCCTGGGGGGCTGCGATCTGTGAAACTGTCGCCACTTTCGAGGCCTGCTGGGGGGCCCAGCACAGTGGGTACCCACGGCGGATTCAAATGAAACCTCGCCATCCCTGGGGGGCTGCGATCTGTGAAACTGTCGCCATTTTCGAGGCCTGCTGGGGGGCCCAGCACAGTGGGTACCCTCGGCGGATTCAAATTGTACCTCGCCATTCCTGGGGGGCTGCGATCTGTGAAACAATCGCCACGTTCGAGGCCTGCTGGGGGGCCCAGCGCAGTGCGTACCCACGGCGGATTCAAATGGGACCTCGCCGTCCCTGGGGGGCTGCGATCTGTGAAGCTGTCGCCACTTTCGAGGCCTGCTGGGGGGGGCCCAGCACAGTGGGTACCCTCGGCGGATTCAAATTGTACCTCGTCGTCCCTGGGGGGCTGCGATCTGTGAAACTGTCGCCACTTTCGAAGCCTGCTGGGGGGGCCAGCACAGTGGGTACACACGGCGGATTCAAATTGTACCTCGCCGTCCCTGGGGGGCTGCGATCTGTGAAACTGTCGCCACTTTCGAAGCCTGCTGGGGGGCCCAGCGCAGTGCGTACCCACGGCGGATTCAAATTGTACCTCGCCATCCCTGGGGGGCTGCGATCTGTGAAACTGTCGCCACTTTCGAGGCCTGCTGGGGGGCCCAGCGCAGTGGGTGCACACGGCGGATTCAAATTAGACCTCGCCATCCCTGGGGGGCTGCGATTTGTGAAACTGTCGCCGCTTTCGAGGCCTGCTGGGAGCCCAGCACAGTGGGTACCCACGGCGGACTCAAATTTGACCTCGCCATCCCTGGGGGGCTGCGATCTGTGAAACTGTCGCCACGTTCGAGGCCTGCTGGGGGGCCCACCGCAGTGCGCACCCACGGCGGATTCAAATGGGACCTCGCCGTTCCTGGGGGGCTGCGATCTGTGAAACTGTCGCCACTTTCGAGGCCTGCTGGGGGGGCCCAGCACAGTGGGTACAGACCGCGGACTGAAATTAGACCCCGCCACCCATGGGGGGCTGCGATCTGTGAAACTGTCCTTACTTTCGAAGCCTGCTGGGGGGCTCGACACAGTGGGTACCCACCGCGGACTGAAATTAAACCTCGCCATCCCTTGGGGGCGGCGATCTGTGAAACTGTCGCCACTTTCGAGGCCTGCCGGGGGGCCCAGCACAGTGGGTGCACACCGCGGACTGAAATTAGACCTCGCCATCCCTGGGGGGCTGCGATCTGTGAAATTGTCGCCACTTTCGATGCCTGCTGGGGGGCTCAACACAGTGGGTACCCGCCGCGGACTGAAATTAGACCTCGCCATCCCTGGGGGGCTGCGATCTGTAAAACTGTCGCCACTTTCGAGGCCTGCTGGGGGGCCCATCACAATGGGTACGCACCGCGGACTGAAATTGAACCCCGCCATGGGGGCTGCGATCTGTGAAACTGTCGCCACTTTCGAGGCCTGCTGGGGGGGGGCCCAGCACAGTGGGTACACCCCGCAGACTCAGGCTAGACCTTGCCATCCCTGGGGGGCTGCGATCTGTGAAACTGTCGCCACTTTCGAGGGCTACTGAGGGGCACAGCACAGTGGGTACTCACCGCGGACTCAAATTAGACCTCGCCATCCCTGGGGGGGCTGCGATCTGTGAAATTGTCGCCACTTTCGAGGCCTGCTGGTGAGCTCAGCACAATGTGTACCCACCGCAGACTCAAATTCGACCTCGCCATCCCTGGGGGGCTGCGATCTGTGAAACTGTCGCCACTTTCGAGGCCTGCTGGGGGGCCCAGCACAGTGGGTAGTCACCGCGGATTCTAATTAGACCTCGCCATCCCTGGGGGGCTGCGATCTGTGAAACTGTCGCCACTTTCGAGGCCTGCTGGGGGGCCCAGCACAGTGGGCTTCCCGCACGTCTTTCTCCTGCTCTTCGTTCCCGACTCCCCATGTCCTCTTCGAGCCTGTGGTTGTCGCCCATCGTTCTTGTATGGTTCTCCTGCGCATCATGCCATAGGCGCGTGTCCCAAGTAGCTTACATATCAAACAACGGATCCTGCAATTTGATTGTCCATGCAAGTTTCGGCCAACTCCTCGTTTCCCATGATACAAATGGGTTGGGTACGTCACAGGGTAATTTTTGGTCGGCGGGTCGAGAGCGGTCCTCTTCCGGTGAAGAGCTACGGCCCGGGAAAACACTTAGGTGTTAGAACAGGAAGCGGCAGCAGGCTATCACGCTCGTTGCAAGGAGGAGGGGGAGGAGGAGGAGGAGGAGGAGGAGGAGGAGGAGGAGGAGGAGGAGGAGGAGGAGGAGGAGGAGGAGGAGGAGGATAAGGCGCTGCTGGGAACCGTCGCGCTGAGCACAAGACGGCCACCTGAGAGTGGGGAACCAATGACCTCCCCTCAGTGCCACAGCCGCGCCCCGCCCACCCGAGGGATCGCGGCGGCGGCACGCGGCGCGGCGATAGCCGCAGCGGCGGGCGGCGCGGGGCCCACCTCGGTGCCGAAGTTCAGCAGGGCGAGCCACGGGGCGCGCGCGGACGCGCGCGCCTTTCTCGAGGCCCTCCGAGCCGCCCAACCGCTACGACAAAGAAAACAAACGAGTTGAAAACGAGCACCAGGGAAAGAAAGTTTAAGACCAGGAGCCCGCTTCGGCCGCCTAGGGCCGAGGTCCAGAAGCAGAAGCCCAAGGGGCCCACGGCAGGTCCGGAAGGAGCGCGCACGGGCCCAGGCGCTCTGCTAGCTCCCTCACCACCCTCTGACTAATCTCAACCAGTCAACTTCAGGATCGGCTGAGGCAAGAGGGCGGGGGGCTGGGATCACTCTCGAATTGGGCCTCCCCTCGTCGCTGGGATGAAATCCAGCGAGGAAGAGGCGACGATTCCGTCTAGCGTGTTCGCCCAGTGTCGGGGGCGGAGCGCAATCCAACAGCAACTAGCCAGCCAGGCCTGTGGTGTAATATCCGCATCGCGCACAGAGGACAACCGATCCTTGGGACACCCACAGAAAGTGACCTCGGGCATGCTGCGACTGCACCATCCCGTGTGCAGGCAGCACAGCGGCGGGGACAGTGGCCTGCGCAAGCGACGCTCTTCCAGGCCTAAGCTGCTGAAACGTGCCTAGACGTGGACGGACGTTCCGTGTTGGGGGCACAAAGGCGGGCCCTTCTCGAGGGGGAACGACGAGGCTCACCGACGGAGGAAGGAGCGGGAGGGAACCGGGCGAGAGAGACCGATCTTCCTGG